ATGAGATATATTTTTTGTTACTTGTTGTTTTAATTCATTATATGTAATTGTCAATGTATTAATTAATTTACTATCTGATTCAAAATAATCAATATTTCGTTGTTCAATAATTATAGATTGTCGTAATGCTTCTAATTTTGAATGTAATGTATCTAATCTTATTTTTGATGATGTACAACTAAATAATTGTTTAATATTTTGTTCTTCTCTACACATAGTCTGCAATTTTAAATGTATATTTTTGTATTCAATTAATTTTTTTTCTAATTGTTGATATGAACTTTGAATTTCTTCTATTTGCAAACGTAAAGTAGTTACGGGTACTAATTCAACATTGGCAGTATATTTTTGATTTTCAACAAGAATATGAATTTTTTTTAAGAATTCTTGTTGTACTATAAAATCATTTTCTATCATAGTCAGTGAAGAATTTAATCGTTTAAATATATTATGAATATTATCCAAATGTTCAATATATTGTTTGACAGATATTAAATTTGATCGATAATTTGTGTTTAATGATGTAAGTTCGTGTGCAATTTCAGTATCAACAAAAAATAGATTATTATCATTGTCATGATCAATATTATGTCTGACTTGCATCGCATAATCCATAGGATTTTCAACAGTCATCATTTCACTTTGAATATCCTATAAGAGAAAATGATAATTTATTAGCATTCTTCACATAGTTAATTATATAGAAGAGAGAATAATATTTTGAAAAATTCATCATAGTTATCTTTATTGTTGTTCTGAACCTTTGCACATCAAAACAAAACTAAACTTGAAAAGTTAAATACAACTGTAGATCAACTATCGGTCGAAAAGATTGGAATGCACTGATCAATCTAAATTTCAACGTAAGAAATAGAATTCTTACTACTTGATAGATTATAAACACACAAGTCATTGACAATAATTTCTATATACTTCTAAACATTTCGTCTCTCATTCTTTATGTTAATTTCTTGAACTAATTGATATTATACGCACATTCGGTATTCATAAATATGTCAAACCGAGTAGTGCATTTTTATATCTGATGATAAGATACTAAATCCAAAGTATTGGAATGTGAAATAAATCTCTACAAGATACCATTTAGGATATTGATGAAAAGTTTTAGTAACAATACCGTCTAAGTGCCTAAACATTTTAATTAGGAGATAACATTTACTTAGTAAGATGCCGGTACACGTTTCAATCAATGTTTTTTTTTGAATGTCCATATACACAAAAGTACCACAATGGCCACTAAAAGACAGTCTATTAAAAAACAATTAATTATAAATCACCTTGAACATGTGAAAACATGTCATCAGGATACCCAGAGTGAATATGTCTAGATATTCAACTGCTGAAAAATACTTTGATGAGTATTTTGATGAGTACCTAAAACAGGTTACCATGAGATATCCAATTACTCAAAAATTGATGATATGCACAAAACCAAATTTAAATAAATTATCTATAGTTTATTTACTATTGATCTTTTCCATAAATGTGTTCAACAATTAACTTGCACAAAAACTAGAAAATCGTTGTTAGAGAGAATAGTGTAAAAATCATACGCCTTATTATTCTAGTCAAAATCAGTGAATTTTATTTGCCATCCTTGTGTAAAATTATCAGAAATCTATTATTTTACTTCTCACTTTGTGGACCAACTGAATTATTTCTCTAATTTAGTATAAATATTTTATCTATAGGTAGCGTTTATCATCTAACCATATCATAAACTCGGTCTATAGTCTTCATTTACTCTCAAGTATCATGCGATGATTACATTAAAACGACTAGAGAGTTTTTGAAAATATCCTTACAATACGGTATGAATCACTTAAAACACGCATCGAGAAAATAACTTCAGATTGTTAATGTATCGATGTTCTTTTACTCTCAAATCTCTACAATTACGTATAACTAAGAACAGATGACTAACTTGAAAAGATTTTTTCCGACAAAAATGAATACAAGGTTCTTTTCGTTTCACTCACTCGACTTACTAATAAATATCTTCAAGTAAGGATATGAGGTAAGAGAAGAGAATATAATGAAATGAGGAGAAAAAATGCAAGAGAACTACAGGAGAGAATGAATTTCATTGGTAATAAAACCTTGTGTCTGACATAGCAATCTTACTTTAAAAATTTCAAGTTGTTTGTTAATCATTTTAACATCAAGTATCTGACCATTATTCTCATCGATTACTTCTTTCTGTTTTCGATTACAATCATTGAGAATCTTTTTGATCAATTTTAATCTCCATTCAAATTCATTCCATTGTTGTTGTTTCAATGCACAGATTTTAACCATATTTTTAATATAAACTTCTACTGATTGTAATGCTCGTTTTAGAAAATTATTTTCCTCATTTAATTTTATTTTGCCACTTTCTGATGTTTCTTTTTCTGCATTTAATAATAATGGTTGTAAATTATCGTAAATTCGCATGAGGTTCGCGAGTTCAGATGATTTTTCCTAATTAAAAGAAGAGAAAAGAATGTCGGTATATATAAGAGAAGAGTGCATCTTATAATAACATACATTAATAAGTTGTCTTATCTCATTGACGGTTGATATTGGTTGTTTTTTTAGGTTGTATAATGTTGTTATTAGATCTGTTATATACAATCGTAATGCACGACAATTTTTAATAAAATTGAAATGTTCACTATATTTGATGTTTGTTGTATCAACTTGAATCTGAATAAAAAAAATGAATTTATTTTTATACAATATAATGAATTCTCTTTTTTGAATTTACATCATATTGTTTTATCAACATTTGATATGTCTCTTTTAAATTTATCAATGAATTATTCGGTATGGATGGTCTACGCAGTACTAATTTTGCATCTTCTAAATCATGAAATATTTCATTTATGTTTGTAGCTAATAATCTTAGTTCTTCAAGTGAAGTCTATTAAATTAGAAATACATATCTACTAATTGACAAGGAACTTTTTGACATTTTATTACTTACTACATCTATTTCTGTGTGTGTATATTTGTCCAACGTATTATTAGGAATTTCATTTTTCAATCGTGTCAAGTCCTTTTCGTAAGCAGAAAGTTTCTGTTGTAAATGTCGAATATTCTCATCAACTTTATTACTGATAGAAATAGATGAATTTAAACGACTCTAGAATAATATTTTGTTTTTCGTAATAGCATTACTATAATCTCTATAATTACCTGTAATTTTGTTGCTTTGTGTTCCAAATGTTTGATTGCTTGTTTCAAGGTTTCAATACGATCGTGCATGATTATTTTTGATACTTTTTTTATCTTAATTTTATCAAATAATAATCACTATTACTCAATAGTTATCTAATATCGAAAATAAATGTTCATTTAACTATTGTACAATTTCTGAAATATAATTACAATCAGAATACATCACTAATAATGGAATATCTTATAAACTGAAAGTTACCTAAAGATATTTTCGACTTTTATTAACAAACGTTGTTAATACTAAAAGGGGATCATTTTCAGAATGTATTCCATTTATTTTTTGTTCTTTTTTTTTCTCTATTGCTTGTTGAAACGATGCCAACGAATTTAATCTTGATAATGGGTTGTTGATTATGTTTGTCTCACATCTAGTTGTAAAAATGTACAAAAAAAAAACTTTTTTTCAAGTTTATCTACTTGACTATTACTTACAACAATTTTTTTTGTTCTCTAATTTTTGATTAATTTTCATTAAAGTTAAGTATATGTATGAAGGAAATTTTTGTACACTAACAACATATATTTCACAGTCAATATTTAATTAGTAAAATTATTTTTTTGTTTTTAATCGTTATGTTAATAAAAAAAAGATCATTAATATTGTCAAATGTTGTATAACCTTGATACACTTGACAATCATTTCGTTTCTTTATCAGACTTTTATGTTTGCTCATATTGTCACCTACTAATTGTATCCAATATTGTTTTTTTTTTTTTAATTTTTCTAGGTTATTGTTAAGTGTTTGTGTAAGAGTGCCGGATGTTATATACGAGATTTTCTAGAATACAAAGCATCGGTAACATCTTGAGATATAAAAGATTCAATAACATACATAATTGTTTGTGATTGTCTTTTGTTGTTGTATTAAGTGACTCCATTTTGTTTCATTTTCATTTCAAATTTTTTTTGACCATTCCTTCTAGGAGCACTCGTTTGTTATTCAATTATCCTATAAATGTTTAATTTGAACCAAATTGATATAAGACTGGAACAAATTTGTTTAAAATCGGATTCAATTTAATATAATTGACAATTTAATACTTGTCAAAATTTGTTACATTTTTTTTTTACACATTACAATTCGTATAACAAATAATTTTCAATGACTACAAAAAGAAACCCAAAGTAATAATTATCGGATTTATTTTAGCATTATGTTTGTCTAACCTTTACGTCATCTTTGAAATGATTTTGTTTAGTAGAAGTGATACAATCTACTCTAAATATCTAAATTGCAAACAATTGTTCTGCTTTTTATCATAACTGTTTAATGGTTGTCTCATTTTTCGTAGATTTTCTTGAATTTTCAAAAAATATATGCAATATTCTAATTGTGGAATCTTTCAAATTAATTATCTGATGAATTTATACATTTAAACGGTTTGCTAAGAATTTATTGGAATAAATAATTAATTTTTGTTTGATGATCTTACACGATAACTCACTCCACTGAGTAACATATAGGAAGTACATGAGATATAGCTGACACTATAAACGTTCACTCTTTTACCGAAAATTGGTAGGATTCACAGCATATCATAATAATCCGTCTGACATTTCGATTAGAACGTCTTGTTCTGATATTACTGTCAATATTACTTTATTGAATGCATTCTAGAAGAAGAAATATTATCATAATTTAATACAAAATATGAATAATTTGATTTTTTCAATTAAAGTTTTAATTGATACATACCTGAATAATAATGAAAACATTAGCTACTTTTCTGCATGAGTTTTTTTTCCATCTGCCAATCGATACATTCAATCATAATACATCCATCTTAATGCCTGAAGTTACCGTTAATATTTATCGTTATTGTAGAGTGTCACAGAGTTTTACTAAATATTAAAATAGCTTGTAATGTATAGTTTGCTTATGAGAAACGTCTCTTTCAACTTTACCTTCTAAATTGGATTGATTTACGATAAAACTATGATATTCTGTTTCTTTTTACTGATACTATTTTGTCACGTTCAATTGTTAATTATTCGTTCACATTTTTGAATTGTACATTTACAGCATCGATTGCTGGTCATTGTCGCTCATATCCATTCATAAATTCGTATCATCCATTTTAGACCAAAAACATTTTTTCATTACCATTCATTTTTTTTCCGCATCATTAACAACACAACGAGCTATTTTCAATATATTAAGAACATTAGTATAACCATGATTATCATTAGTTAAAGATAATCTCATTTCCTCGAAGATTTTCTTTTCAAATTGAGATTTTGGTAATTTAAATGTAGACGACATTGTTTTGTTTATATTGTTTAACTTAGTTGTGAACTTGACCGAAAGTATAAATCAGAAAGATCATTGGTTATTAATATATTTTGTACTCTTAGTTCAAACATGACACCTTAATTTTAAATATTTGATAAAGAACGTGGCCGTTTCAACATTCGGTAGTTATATTCTACTATATCGATGATTAATCGTGTCGTTTTTGGATGTATTAATATTGCTATACTGTTGTTGATCATAAACGTTTTTTTGAGAACAAACTTATATCATTGATAGTTATGTTTTGAAGAATTATCTCTTGACGCTGAGAGGAAAGATATTTAACTGGTTCTTGCCTTGTGAAACTTTTTCTAAAAGTTTAAAATACTTTAGATTAATATTACAATATCTTATTCTCGATCGAATGTATTGTTGTGCCAAGGTGATGATATTTGTTCAATTTAATCTAACGTTGGTCATAAATAGAAATGTTATACTTCTTAATGTCTAGTTCAGCATGCGATACCAGAAGATATTCCATTCATTTGATTGTTTAAGCTAGCAGTTTCCACTTTCATTTATTGTAAATTGACTTTTGCCTGTTGGACAGAATTACAAACGATCGTTGAGCTGATTCTCTGTTTCTAATAAATGGTTGAACACGTTCAATTTTCATACTGATTTTTATTCATTGTAATAAATATAAACGTTCATTTACTTCTGTTATAACATCTTTTCATTCATTTTTCAATAGTTCAATATTATCAGCTTGTATAATATTTGCGTTACGTAATAATATTTCACACAATGGATAAAGTTTCATTTCCATTACAATTTGTAAAGGCTGGAAACAAAATCTTACGAAAGCTGTTTCAACTTTAGAACGAAATACAACCAAACGAAAATACTTATCGAGAAAATGAGATAGATAGATAGATAATTAATCATGCAAATAAGCTTTATGATACATAAACAAGCAAAAGCAGTATTTGGGCAAAAAGCAATAACAAGCATAATGATAATAATGATATATGGTGTCGTTCACAGTTCAAGAGATAACAGATGGTGTATGTGTGTGTATGTGTGTATGTGCTGTTTATGTCTCAGTGCAACAGATGTGAACACAGCAAAACTCTCATATACACACAAAAGTATACATATTACAAACCACGAACACAGAACGGAAGGCGACTTATACGAGATTTCTTAACTTGTGGAATAAAACATATTTCTTTTTCATATTTCAATTGTGTATAATGAAAACTTGTAAAAAACATTTACCTTGATAAGAACCATTAAATCTTCAATATCTTGTATATTACTCCCATTTAGACGTGCTGATCGAAGATTAGTGGTTAAAGCATTAATTCGTAATAAAAGACTTGTACGCGCTTGAGTAAAATCTTCAACAGCTTGATTCAACTCTTGTGCTTGTGTACGACGTTGACCAAGCTAAATAGAATAATCCAAATATTTACTAATAGCTCTAGTGAATACACTTTTGTCCAAGTAAGTACTTTGGAAAAGTCATAGTCACAGTACTTAGAGTTTTTTTTGCAAGTAAAAAAGAAACTTATCAAGTAATTCAATAAATACAGGTACTTGATAAATATTTTCGCAAGTATCTGACAAATAACTTGGAAAGTACTTGCAAAATGTATTAAAATATTTGACGTTTTTTCCAAGGATCGTGTATGTATAGAAACACTTGACAAGTATTTTCGGAAATTTGCAACGAATCAGTTTTTAACTCTAATCGAATGGTGTTTACCTTATTTTCAATTGAATCAAGCATATTTTGTATACTTCTACTATCGACAGTGAAAAATACTGAGCGATTTGTTGTTGAGTCATTTATTGTTGTATTACTTTCTTCCATTAATTTATCTAACAAACTACTTTCTGATTGTATTACTCTTAAATCAACAGTAATACGATCAAAACTGGCACGTATTATGTCAAATTCATTCACTTTAATTATATGATTATTGTTTAATTCATCATTAATATGATTTAATTTCGTTCGAATTTCTTCACAACGTTTCGAATGTTCTTCAAATCGTTTTAATAAATCCACTCGTTTTTGTACTATATCATTATACGTGTGTAATCGTTGTCGATGTGACTCAAATGTATTATGGATTGTTTGTAATTCTAAAATAAAATGATTTATATTATGTATATTAGAATAATTGAATGAAGTATAATTTTACCGGTTCTTGGAAGACCAGCTGCTTCTAAATCGGCTAATTCATGTCCAACAGTAACTAATAATGGTTGAACTGTTTGTAATTGTTTTTGAGTTTGTTGTAATCGTTTTAATGTCATTATATATGATGCTGTTTGAATTTGACCGTTAGATTCTATTTGTTCGGCTATATCACGTACACTACGTTCAAATATTTCAAAACGATTGTGAAATGCTTTTCGAGATTCAAATAATCGTTCAGTTTCACGCAGCTAGAAAACAATTAAATTGTCTGTTAGATAGATATAGATATAGATATATATATATATTAAAAATTAGAATGAATCTAACTGAGAACATTTAATTCTACATACTCTAATATGAACTGGCCACATTTTAGTTTTCGATTTGTATGCGGGAAGAAAAGATATACAGTTTTAAAATTTGTAACAAAGAAATATCATTTTTTGACACAATACAAGATAAATAGAAAAAAAAACGAAAAATCTTTTCATCTTTTTTTTTTTTGTTGTTGTACACAATGATCTAATTACAATGGTTCACATACATATTATTCTTTATTATAGACACGAAGAAGGGAATTTATAAAGATGTATATATATTTAAAATCAAAACATATTATCAACATCATCATATTTTTATGCAACATATTCTCAGATTATAGTGTACAATTTCAAAACTATTTTTCATTATTCCACTTTACTTGTACGTATTCATTTTTAATTTAATTCAAATTTAGACATGCGAATAAATTCAGAAAAATAAGAGTCATCGCACAATTAAGAGTTTATTATCGAGTGTACTTGAAATATCACAGAAAAGATATTATTTATTTATTTATTTTTCTTTTGAAAAATAAACTATTTTAGTTAAATTAACCGCAAATTCGAAAAACAGAACAAAAGTATTATTGTATGAAACCACAAAATAATTTCTGGAAAAGTTGTTGATAGAAATATTGGCCAAAAATACAACAGAAAAGTATAAAAGCTACATGTTATTAGATACAGGTGACACATTTAAATAAGTGAATCGAGAAATGAGAATTTTTCAACTAGAATTATGTTCACTCTATGTAATAATCTTTGAATCATTATCTCTAGCTGTTAAGCAATGAAAGAGTTCCTCTGCAGTGATTAAAGAAGCGTTTGACAGACTCGAGCTTAACATCAAAGATTGACAAAACTTTCTCATTTTTGATAAATTTTAGTTAATAATGACTTACTTTTTCTGAAACTTGTCTATTTAATTGATTCCATTTTGTTTCAATCGATATTTGTTCTTCGTGTATTGAACGTTGTCCTTCAGTAGAACTATATTGTCGTAATTCAACTAATTGTTTATGTAAACGATTGTAATTCGCTGTTTGATGTCGAATATCATCATCTAAAATCTTTAGTTCATTTAAAACTGATGTCATTTTATTAATATCAAATATTTTATTCATATCATTCGAAAATAAATTTCGTGCACGCTGTTCGAGATCTTTTAGTGTTTGATCACGAAATGAATTTAATTCTGATTCGAATAACAACCATGAACTATACTGTTTTTCATATTTTGTTATTAAATCATCCGATTTTTTAACAATATCCAACCAACGTGTTTGACAATTTTTAATCGATAATTTCAAATCAAATTGATCGTGTATCTCTTGTTCTTCAGCAATTAAATGATTATATATCGGTAAATAGCGACGTTTCTCTTCCATAAATTCCTAAAAACGTATCATAGAGTTAAAAATATTGAAGAGAAGAGAAAAGAAAATAATAGAGCTAGAATGATCACCGTGGATATACAGACGGACATTTAGCCAAATATCGAAAGTAAACTTTTGACAGATTTAATTTACTTACTTTATCCAAAGAATTTACTATAAATAAAAATGATACAGAGACTGAATCTGGGCACATTCGCTAACATACTGACAAAAAATGTTTTTGCTTTCGACTTAACCTTGTGGATATATTTTTCAAATAACTGAGTATTTTTCTAAACGAGAGTGTTTAGTATAATGAGTGTATTCACTATGGTTCATCTTCAATTTTGATCAAACTTTGGTACAATGTTCTATTATATGCATCGTGTCTATGGTATTAGCATAACCTTTCGTACAGCATTTGCAAATCCAAATGCTTTCCGATCCAAAAGTACACACTAAAATTTTTCATGATACCGCTTCCCCGTAAGAACACTATTTTCTGGCATAGAGAGAGAGAGAGAGAGAGAGAATCACTCTAAGTTAAGAACGATCATTTCAGTTGATAAAAAACTGCCTAGGAAAGAATGATCACTGTAAGAACCGAGTTTCGAACTTCTTCCGAACGTTTTCTCATCATACTACTGTATTCTTTTTTCTCATTAATACAAAAAAGAAAAATCATAACAATGTTTTGTTAATATTGTCAGCACAGAAAATTTTCATCTGTTTTATCTAAGTAAAAAGTCTCAATTACGAAAAAATGTTATGCTATTATAGAATATAATACATCTATGTGTTCGATATAGTTATTGAGTAGGGAAACATGTGAACGACTCAATGCATAACATGAGCAAGCATGACTTAAAATAATGAATTGTGAGTAAAAAGAGGGAAAAACGTCACTAAGCCATATGCGTATAAACGTATTTCAGACAGCGAGACTTAATCTGAAATATACTCTAATATGAGTCCATAGTTGAACTCGGTTAATAACTAGAGAAGAGTAACGTACTTTGTGTTTATCAAACAATTGTTTTGCTTCACTTAAATCTGCTGCACCAAAATTATCGATTCGTTTTGCTAAATAGTGTTCGGCTTGTTCAATCCATGGTTGAATTTGAGATAAATAACGTGTACATAATTGAACATGTGTACGACATTCAGCCACAACTTCTTCTTCACGATGAACTTTAGCTGATGTTGTTTCAGCTAGTGTACGCAATTGATTCAAACGAGTGATGGCATGTTTTAAATCTTTTGGTTTTGATTGTAATAAATCCAAATTTTGTGAATCAGATTGTAATATCGATAATGCATGTAAATGTTCTCCTAATTCTTCTCTTATACGCTTTTAAAGTATGAAAAAAAATCACAAAAATATTATAATCACTAAGCTCTATTAATTTTAAGATACATACTTCAAGTATATTTTGTTTATCTTCAAGTGGTCGTTCTCCGAACATATTTGTATCAAACATTGTTTCTATTTCATGAAATAATGTTTCTAAACGTTTTAATTCTGTATTAAAATTCGTCCATTTATCATTATCATTAATTAAATCTGTTAAGTAGTCATCAATTATTTTGAGACTATTCATCAATTGATCATGCATGCCATCATGTTCAGATTTTAATAATTGAACATTTTCATACGGTAATAAATTATTTGATACTATCTGAAGTAATTTTGTACAATCATCAAGAATAGGACATAATTCCTCATAAGAATGTCTTAAATTCTAAATAATACAAAATATTTTTATATAATATTCGAGAAAATTTATCTTCCTATCTACCTTGCATCCATCAATTTCACGTTGAAATGATGTAATGGCATTTCTGTTAGAAATTAATTGTGTTAAATCATTATTTAATCTGTCAATGAGTTGTTGATATCGACGTTTATTTGAATCGAATTGTTCCCATATTTCGAGTATTCGCTATAAAAACAAAATATATATCATTATTAATAATAAAAAAAAGGATTTAAGAAAAGTATACTTTTAACTTTGCCGATAAATCTTGTGCAGTTTGTAATCGATCATTAAATATCATTTGTACTTGTTGCATATCTTGTTGAACATATTTTGGTGTCATAGTATTTCTTATTAACTCAGTACCACGTGCCAATAATTCATTGACTTGTTGATGAAAACCATTAATATATTCAACTACTTTGCGTTGTCCTTGAACAGTTGATCGTACATCATTTAAATCACGAAAATGTAGAGGCGCATTTAATGCGGCATTTATTGTCGATATTAATGCAAGAGCATTTTCATGAATCATTTTTGATGGTATAATGATTGAACAACGTTCGGATTGTTCTTCAATTTGTGGCAATAATTGTTTATAGCGTGTTAATAATTGATCTAAACGTTGACGATATCGTGTTGGATCATCTGTAGCACGTTCTTCAATTAATTCATTTAAAATAGTTTTTAATGAATTAACATCTCGACTAATTTGTTCAATTTGTTGTACAGCACTCTTAAAACGAATAGAATTAAACAAAATTAGATCATTTATTATAATTAAGCATTAGTATTAAGTACTTTAAATTTTGTTGCAATAGTTTTATATTGATCGAATGGGACTTCCGTCGAACGAGTGTCGGCCATTAAACGATCAGTGTTGGTCATCCATGTTTCTACAAGTTGAAATCTAGAAAAAAAAAAATGAATGAAATGATTGGTTTAAAATTGTGTATATACAAATGATAAATTTCATTTAAAGATCTGCATTGAATTTTAACGAACATACTTTTCGTCATATTCTTGCCATTTTTTTGGTATGGTCAACAATTTTCGTTTTACAGTATCAATTTTATTTTGCATATTCATCCAATATGAAGTCAAATTAGTTGTTTTTTTTTCAATCTGATCATTTGATGTATCTTTTTGTTTTATATCATTGGCATACGTATGTAGATGTTGAAAATGTGACTCGATGGTTGGATGAAACGTTGCATTTTGAAAATGTTGTTCATGTCGACGTAATAGATCGGTTGTATCGCGAATTGATTCTAGCTGATGTAATTCATCGTTTAATTCATCTTCAACGATTTTCAATTCTTTTACAAGAATATCTTCAATTCGTTCGTATTGTAAACGTAGCAGACGAATTGGAGCATGACATACTATCGTCTAAAATAATAGGAACTGACATGTTAACGAAAGGAGATGTGTACCAGAAAACTTTTCTGTTTTTCCCCTATTTCGAGTAAGTCACTCATTCTCGATTAAAGTGATGTACAAAAGTTTAGATGAATTTGCAATTTTCATTTTTCTATCTAATCAAAAGTTTTCAATAAGATTTAAAATGCGTTCGTTATAAATACCTTAGATTCTAGAGATAACTCAAAACTCAAATGTTGATGATTCAGTGCTTTTAAGTACAGTGGACAAGAATTTAATCCACTTTTCAATATCTTTGATTCTTTTTACAGATCAATAGACGACGGTATTGCCTATATTTTTGTAAACAAACGTTTCAAAAAAATCTTTAGTTCACCTTTAAATTTGGATTTATTGTAGAGCAAACGTAAATTTTTCAAGTTACACGAGTTGACAGATTTAATTTTATTAACAGACCTTCAGAAGGAGCGTAAAAAAACTAAACAAAACTACATTATTTTTATTTTAGTAGAATAAAATTTGGGAGCTTTTTAAGATGAATTTTTAGTTTGAAAGAATTTAAAAGTTGCGTAAACAGGTGGCTTGTATAAAGACATTTTCTCCTCACAATGAGACGTCTCCAAGAGTTGTATGATTTCCCGATGAGAACTTGTATGTCTTTCCCTTTCGTCCTTTTTCATTGCCTTCTTACTTCCGTAAATGTCACAGTGGACTGTTTTTCTATTAAAGTAAAGCACTATTAGTTTTTTGCTAAGTAAAACTGCCTAAATGCTAAGTAAATTTTTGCTAATTAAAATTTGCATCTGTGCATCTGCCCAGTAAATAATTTGAATGTTTAATAAAATTATTGAAGGCTCAATTAATTTAATTTTTCGCAATAATTAAAATTTTTACTAAGTTTGATAAATAATATATAAGTAAAATATTTAAAAATTAAAGTTAATAAATTGAAAAATGTGTTTTCAATTTTATCAGTACCATGTGGATAATACAGATAAATTACTGTATCACATTGCTAGCCACGAAATTTAATTTGATTACAGTGATAATTAAAATATATGTAATATTTGGCTTTGAAAAGAAAATATTTCGAAAAAAAATGTTTTTACTTAGCATTTAAATGAGAGCCAAAGTAAAGTATTTTACCTATAATTTTGCATTGGAGAGATGATTCTAGAAAGATGAGTATATTTTATGAAACTTCGTTATTCTTTTTCTATAAATTAATTAATAATCATATGATACTTGATAGCGCATCTACGGTTTGTAACATAACTTGCTTTTATCTCGCCAGTCTTACGAAATTTTTAAACCTTGACGTGAAAACTAGGCATGCACCAATTAAAAACTACTGTTTGGGCTTTCACGAAAATTGTTATAACTTGTCTGTAAAAGATTTCTCAGAGTCACCGAACGTCTCATTTTGTAGACAAATGTTTGCTCTAGAAACCTCAGCTATGAAAAAACACTTGAAATTATTTCTAATAAAAGTGCGCGCATTCTAAGATGCACTAAAGTTAGCAAAGAAAACTGTTCGAACAGGTTTACTTAGGGCAATCCAAAAGTAGTGAGGGAGGTACTTTATTTTCTTAAGGAGCGCTTCAAAAACATTTCTCTTTTAATGAACAGATAGAGCGTCTTTCGCTCTATTTTTCTATGCTATTTGATCAA